CCAAAAGAGGGTTGATGTCAGGCAGGCGGGCCGGTCGTAAAAACAAATAGCCAAAAACTATTCATAACATGTAAGGCAGACCCTGGCTATAGCTGGGAAATTGCCAGGTAGAAGAAGAAGAATAATAAATGTTAAAAAACTACAAGTTTAAAAATATATATATATGTAGTTCTTCTAAATTTGTTCTATTCATAATGTCATTTTTTATTTATTTAAAAGAGGTATTATTTCAAAAACTATGAAATTCACATAGACAGCTGATCGATTTAATAAGTTAGTAATGGAAAAGTTTATTCGTTTTTGCATTAACTGTTGCAATAAAGTAAAACTTTTATCTACTAAGATTTTATCAAACAAATTGTAAGAGCGCTTCCTTACTATTTTATGCAAACTATCTTATTCAAGGTACATCCTTAATAAACTGAATTCAGAGACTGGCTTGATATTAATAAAAATAAAAAAGGAATCAGGATTTATTTTAATTTAAATAAATAAAACTTATATTTTCGGATGCACTACATCTTTTTTATTATTTGAAACTACATATTCCTGAAGTTTCGGTTACTTTTCAGCAATCGTACATGGGCAGACGAGATGAAAATTTACACAATAATATTAAATTTATTTATATGAATACTTGTGAAAGTATTAAATATCATTCTTTTGGATTATTTACAATTGTATTTATACTTTAGTCGATTTTAACATTCTAATATATCTCAAATGATGTCTACAAAATGTGGTAATTTTAACAAAGACGTGACTCTCAATCAAGCCTAATCGTGACATGCCTTGAGAATTATTGGAGTAATAGAGAAAAAGGAAACGAATAATTTGAAGTCGAGTCACGAATACCAGAAATCATTGACAATATCTTTAAATGAACAAACAAATAATATTACAAAGGTCCTTATTATTCTCAATTAGTACTGTTTGAATTAGGGATTGAAAAATGTCTTTTGTGAAATATCTTTTTGAAATTTAAATTACATTGTAATCATACTGTGGTTATAGGCTTTGTGAATAATATAGTATTTTTTGAGAATAAATATTGCAGTATAACTAGGTCTTATAATATTGGTTTTTACGTATGAAATTACCGTATTGTCGAACTGTCCACTTGGATCTGAGATATCTCCTTTTTAATTAGGAATTTTGATATCAAATTTATACAGTCTTTGACATAAAGATCACAACAGTAATTGTAAAACACCAATTGTAATCAAAAAACATATTCTATCTTAATATGTATATAAGATTTATATGCAATAAATAATTTACAGTCAATATTCAGTATAAACATAAATTAAATAGAGATTTTACATATACATAAACCATGATTGTACATTTAAGAGTTAAATTATTTTTATATACTGTACATATAATAAAGTCTTAATACATTAAAATTAATACTTATCCAAAGCATAAAATTTTAACGAAATTAAATCCTGCCTTGTTACACACGGACGGACTTTTTTATATTTTGGTTTAATAACAAGAAGCATATGTACAATCTTTACGTCTTTTACAAATATCATATTCATTTAAAAATTGTTCTGTGAATGACCAATAATTGAGCTTGTAATAATTATTATGTGGTATTTCACTCTAGATTAATATAGTAAGTTAGTTAAGGATACTAACATAATATTATTGTATTAGATAATACTAAATAATTAACTCATCTTAATTTACAATAACTAGTCTAGACTAGTTACTAGTAACTGGTATACTGATTTTAATTACTCAAATACTTTAACAAAATAATTGGTTTTGTTTAAATGAAATATTCGATGCAAAACAAGAATACTACGAGTTTTTTTATTATTTTATATCCACATGAACCTAACTTTACAGTTACTTTACAGCACCCGTGATCACGGGTGGACGAAGTGAAAGTGACTCATTAAGAGTATTCGAAAAGAGTTAAATGTGTACACGCAATAATTTTAAATATCATTATCTTCTTCTTCTTCTACCTGGCAATTTCCCAGCTATAGTTAGGGTCTGCCTTTCATGTTGTGAATAGTTTTTGGCTATTTGTTTTTACGATCGGCCGCCTGCCTGACATCAACCCTCTTTTGGGAATCAACATTAATCAGTGATGTCTAAATACTCTTAGAAAGTACATATGATTCGGAAAAATCACATTGGTACTTGCCCGGGCCAGGATCGAACCCGCGCCCTCGGTGACGAGAGGCCGGCCCTCTAACCACTGAGCCACCACTGACTTAATTTTAAATATCATTAGATATTATAGAAATTATTTTGGCCTCAGAACTGAACTATATTGTATAATAAATTTATACAAATTTCATAAATTAAAATGAATATCAATGTTATTATCGAAAATAAATTAACGTAATAATATAAAAATGTATCTTTCTTTATAATGTATCTATTTATAGAAGAGTAATTTTAATGTTGATTTATATTATAACAGTACCATTTATATTAATAAATCTATTAATTCATTGTTCAAATGACTAACTCTGTTAATTTGGTCCAGGAATGCATTGTGAATTCCTCTAATATGGTTCTACATTTCTGTTAGATATTACATCATCAACACAGATTTATAATATATTAGAGAGGGTATTAACAATATTAATAAAATTTTAACTGCTTCATTGATTTAAATTTTAAACAAATTATAATTCGCAAAAAGAAATTTCTTGTTCAAATTGTAAAGTAAAACATATTTTTAAAGTTTACGTTAATTTTTATTAGTTTTTTATTCATTGATAAACATGTAGGTTAAAATAAGATTTTAAGAATTTAATTTTTACAATGATTTTTATAATAAAAGAAAAAGGAAAATGATCCCATGGTAAGGAATTGTTGATATAAATGAAAGCACTTTGGCTTTTGTAGTAAGGTCAAATAAAATAACTATTATAAATACTTATGTGTATATAATAACAAACAAAATTTATCTTTCTAGGACTCGTAAGAAAAGTTTCTTTTAATAAACATAATATCGTACGGTAAAATGTTCAGTCATTCAACATTAAAAATGAAAAGAAAACTGTTTGTAAAATTCTTAAACATTTTCTTGCATTTATATTTTAATAATTAATTCACTTATTTTCTGAACACATATATATGGCAACTTCTATGTATCTCAAAGAATCATTATTAGCCTATCTTGGTCAAGTAATTACAGCTCGAGCATGGACTGACTCGGCCAGGGAAGTACCACCCTCTCACAGAAGATCGGCGTGAAGTGGTCATTAATGGCTGCGTTTCGTCCGATGGGTGAAAGAGCTGCTTGTCCTTTTTCTTTTCCTACCCTTTCCTCTCCCTTTCCCACAGTCAATAGTGGGAAACGCATCTGCAAAATCCCTTATAATGGAGATGTCCATTGGTGACGCTAACTACCTTCCATAATGTAGGCCGTCTGTTCGTTTGCCATCTGAATTAATAAATAAAACAAATTTTCGTTTACACGTAGGAAAAACTCATCCATAGAATCTTTAATATCCATTAATATAAACAAAGATTTTTATGTAATATTATAAGATCATTATGGTAATTAAAAACTTATTCCATAAGAATAATTAATCATTCCACGCTCTTATAACGTAATCTACGCTAAGTAGTCCTCATGTATGTCAAATACGAAATGATTAATTGTTGATTATAATCATTAGGACATATCTTCTTGAAAATCATTAAATTAAAGGTATATTTATTTATTACTTTGACGAAGGTACGTAAATGGAAATTGCTTTAAATTATTTAAAATGTGTATGTCGTCTAATTTTGTTTTTAGGATATATTTTTATACGTTTATAATATTATCCTTTTTATTTATCGAAACCTGGCAAATATCAATGTGTTTTTTACCATTTATGTATATACTCTCTAAGATTATTTAAATATCAGTAACAGACGGTGACGGAAAACATCCTGAGGAAACCTTTATTTATATATTAATAACTAGAATTTCAGATTCTAAGTTTGAAGTCGCTAAACCGCTTTGAGCAAGTGAGGTGATTAATGCTCTAACCATCTTTATGAAGAGGCCTTTGCTCAGCAGTGGCTCCGATTGACTGATGATGATGATTTTTGTACCTTTTTTAATTTTATTTAAACTTTTTTAATACGCAATTAAAATGTAGATATACTTTGAAAATCACAGGAATAAATATCTTGTTTTCCTTTTCTTTTAATACGATTTCAGTACTCAGTAAACTTTAGGAGGTATAAAACATATTGTATCCGATGGCAAGTCAAAGGTAATATGACACGTCTCTCACATTAAATCTGAATTATGTTGGAGGCCATTGTTCTCGACGCCAATATTTTAACTAAAAAAATCAAGTGTCACATACTTTTAGCATATATTTGAAATATATTCTTGATCTTTACAAAAAAGTTACGTAATTCTACTTCTTTCAACTTCTATAGAATAATTATGATATAAATGAAACTAAAATTTTCGTATTTTTACCTTGCGTTTTTATTATTGATTTTAAACTACACACTCCCAATGTTTCGGCTTCTTTTCAGCAACCGTGATCACGGGTAGACGAGATGTGAGTCGTGTGAGGAAAATATTAGTTTCAATTAAATGAGTACTCGTTAAAATCTTAGATCTAATTATGATATAAATTATGTACTCTCATTTTTATATCTCATGTGATCTTATGTGATTTAACACAATATAAGATGAACCCTAGAGTATTTAATACAGTTATATGATAAATATGTTTACTTTTTTAAAGAAAGGTTTTAAAAAAAATTACAATGACTTGTTTCCTGAGAGTGGCTTTTAAATGAAGGAAACTGCATCAAAATAAGGCTATCTGTTTCAGATCTACGATGCTACATACACATATAATCATCAACGTAAAACTTGAAATAACTTTCTTCTTGGTTAATGCTAAAACAAAATACATCAAATAACAACGAGAAAAAAAGATTTATTTATTGATAAAAAGGTTTAATATAAAAAAATACACAGAATATTACATACTTTTAAGATCTCTTAAAGCCTAATAATTTTTGCCTCTTTCGGCCTTACTGACGATATTCTCAGCTTTTCTGTGGGCTCTTCCAAAGAATTCCATCGCTATGAGCCCTATCAAATTAAATTCGTACAGATCCTTGTTGAAAGCGTAGTACTGCACAGAAACGGCATCAGTACAGTAAGCAGTTGGTATTGCGTCGGGGCTGAACTCCAAGTCAGTTGATATAGAAGTTCCATTGGCAAAAACGACATAAAGAGCATTATCTAGCATCAAAGGCACAGATTCCTCCATAATGTGCGGTGGCCTTAGGAGCTTTAGAGATTGCGCTCCATTAGGAAGACCTTGAATTTTGGTAACACCATCAGCGTTTTTCATGAACACATCCTTGTTAGAGTCATAAAAGTAAATATTTTCAGAATCATCCAAAACAATTTCCATAGCACCTTCCACGTCTTCTAGAAGTTCCTTATCTACACCATCGTTTGTCACATTGTATAATTTGTGATCTTCAGTCAAAATGTAAATATGTTTTCCATCTTTATAAGTAGCAATATCAATAATACTATCGGTAAATCCTCCAAACTTTTCAGCGGTTTTAGAGTTCGTGTTATAAATGTATAAACCATCGCTCGCACCGAAATAGACTATTTTATTTTCGGCGAACGAAGAAGCCACTGCTCTTCCATTTGGTAGAATCATTTTCGTCTTATTATGCTTATATAAATATAGTCCTTGATAATTACGCTTTCCATCCTTAAGATCGGCTTCGACTAAGAAAACTGTCACATCTGTAAGATCGGTCTCGCGAGATTCTGATTGGCTGTCAGATTCTTTCATCGCCTCATCAAAGTTGAGAGCATTAATTGGTACAATAATGTCAACAATATCATGTTCAGCTTTATATTTCAAGTGAGATTGGTCGAAAAGTTCTCTTGGTATCAAAGTTTTTTCATTATTATCCTCTGAGTGGGGTGCAGCATGATAGCTGTTTATGAAGAGGACTATACATAAAAGTGCTAGTGTTCTCATTTTTGGTATCTGGAAATAGTTATAGTATTATTTTTATTTAAATACAACTTAAAAAGAAAATCTATTACTACTACGTATTTAATTATTAAGATTTTTAGACTTAAGCTGTATACTTTTCACTTCTTCGAAAATTTCTTGTAAAATTGTATTTTTTGTATAAAAAAGTGTAAGGAAGTAAATATAAATTGCCTTTATTTTAAATAGAAATATGTCTGTGTATATGCATTGTATATAAAATTATACGGCTTATCTGTATATAAGAATATATATCTGTACATTTAAATCATGTCAAAGTTCAGTGATAAGATAATTATACATACAAGTAATGAATAAATTGTTTCCATGTAGAAAATTAAATTAGTGTATATACAAATTTTTTTGAATTTAAATAGTTTAATTTTATTCTTATTAATTGAGTTATTAGTGGGCTATCACACAAAGTAATTATAAGCTTATAGTATTACAATGCATTAGCTTTTTTTCGTATCCTATACTTGTTCAAATACTGATAATATGTACGATCAGAAACAAAAGAAAATAGAATAAGTCAGTGGTGGCCGAGTGGTTAAAAGGCTCGCCTCTTATGACTGAGGGCGCGGGTTCGATCCTGGCAAATACCAATGTGATTTTTCCGAATCATATGTACTTTCTAAGAGTATTTAGACATCACTGATTAATGCATTCCCAAAGAGGATTGCTGTCAGGTAGGCGGCCGGTCGTAAAAACAATTAGCATAAACTACTCACAACATGTAAGGCAGACCCTGGCTAAAGCTGCGAAATTGCCAGGTAGAAGAAGAAAACAAAAAGAAATAAAAAAGGAAGTCGAACAAACAGACAAAGTTATTCAATTAATTAGCGTAACTTAATAGTTATCTAAATTACTAATTGATATAAAGATTTTCCATTTATAAGATTGATAGTAAAATTACTAGTAGAACTTAACTAATAAATTATAATAAATAATTATATACAATAACAAGACTTTTAAGTTTTAAGATCTATCAAGCTATAGCTTAGAAATATAATTAAATAAATCAGCTGTATTCTCAAGAAGTTTATTTAAGTGAAGAAAAAAATCAAAGAAAGTTAAAGAAAATTAGAAAACATAATAATCATCGAAGAACATTTTTAACTTTGGAAAACGGTTTGATACTCTGTAACCTTATACGAGTATCAATTAAAAATATTAAAACAAAATCACATGCAGAATTAATTATTATATATTAATTGTTACACTTACCAGTGATTAAATAGAAATGCGCTCGATTAATCAAACTTTTGATTTATATATACTAATCATTAATTATTTGTTTTCTTGTCAAATAACAATTCAGAGAAATATTTTGTTTGTCTGTATCTTTTTTGATAACATTTTTTAGTATAATGATTCTATATCGCTTTATCTGTTTACAAAAAAAATACAACTTATTTGTAATATTTAATTATAGCACGTATTTAACATTGTAAATTTTATTTTCAATAGTCATTTTATATTTTAGTTCATATGGAATTATTTCAACTAAGTTTATATAGGAAATATATTTAATTGATATATTTTATAGACAATATCTTCAAAATGCTCTTCAATAGGAAATAAATAAATTTACATCGTAATTGTTAGTACCGGATTTATTATACTAGATAAATTAAAAGGGTCAAATATAGCATTGACCTCGCGAATTCAATGAAAACCTTCTAGCGGTCACCTAGGTATTATCTTATGTCAAAGGTCAATAATAATTAAATAATTATCACTTTTAGAATATATATAAAGGACAGATCGGTTTACGCTAAACCTATTAAATGATATCCAAGACTTCAAGGAAAGGATATTGTGACACCGCAAGTTTAGGTATGAAATATTTTATTTTACTTATATTCATTGAAGTGTAAATTTCTATAGTCTTTTCAATGTTATAAATTTTAATGAGATCTAAGATTTTCGCGAGTACTCATTTAAATCAAACTAATATTTTTCGGATTTTACTTCTACTTTACTTTACGTGTAGTCTCACACACATCTCGTCTGCCCGTGATCACGGTTGGTGAAAAGTAGCCGAAACGTCGGGAGTATGTAGTTTTCTAATCAAAAATAAAACGCGAAGTAAAATCCGTTATAAATTTTGTTAGTTTTTTCTTGGACATTTGTTTCTTGCATTGAAGTTAGTTTTAAGTGTTAGTGATATATATTTATTTATTTAGAAAAATTGTTTAAAACATTGAATAGATATATATAATTTTCTTTCAAGTAAGATTTTTTAGAAAATATGTAGTTATTAGTTAATTTGTTCCTTACCTAGTTTAAAGTGCACGTACTTTATAAGAAAACCTTAATGTCTTTATAGAAAAGTCTATAAATTATTCATTTTAGTTATATGTTTTATGAAATCGTTTCTTTTGCAGATATAAAAATGAAAAAGTTGTTAATTTTCATAGCATTATGTCTGGTGGACATCTCTTTGTCTGATGAAGAGGTTTTTGTTATACCAAAAGAAGTATACGATAGAGCTTTCCTAAGATATGAAGCGGAACACGACATCGTTGATATTATTGTACCTTTGAATGCTATAAATTTTGAAGATGCTGACAGTAGGAGTGATCCTGATAATAGTATCAAAGACGTGACCGTTTTCTTTGTGGAGGCTGACGTCAAAGATGGCAAATATGATTACAAAGGACTATACAGATTTAAGAACAATGAAACAAAAATGATTCTTCCAACAGGCAGAACTGGAGCGTCTTCTACAAATGATAACAAATTAGTTTACTTCGGTGCAAGCGACGGGTTGTATGTTTACAATGTTGAAAAGGACACTGCAGAAAAATATGGACCAATCACAGATGGTATTGTGAGTATTGTGTGTGATGAAACTGGAAAAACTATTCACTATATAGGCGATGACCACAAGCTGTACAAAGTCACAAATAATGGCGAGAATAAAGAAGCTGTTAAGGAAGTAGAAGACGCTGTAGACATGGTGGTAGATGATGAAGGAGTGATCTATTATTACAACTCTAAAAATGAAATATATATAAAAACTGATGGTGGACTCGTCAGAGCTCAGAATCTTCCGGAAAACCCCAAGTCCGTTAGACTCATTCGACCACCATTCTTTTTCGGTGATTCTGTAGCCCTTGTATGCGATAATTCAGTTTACATCCTCCACGTGAATGGAACGAGTGACAGATATTACCTGGATTTCAGCTCCGAATCAATGCCAACAGCTTTTGGTTTGGAAGCAGTTTTCGCAGTTTACTACGGTCACGATAAGAAATTATATGAATTTCAAATGTTGGGAATTAAAAATAACCCAAATTTTGACAGAATAAGGGGCATAACTGATAAAATTGCCGAAAAAGCGGAAAAACGTAAGCACACTTTGGGAGCAAAAAAAGACTAAGAATGTAATCTACACTTGTGTCACAAGTAGCGCCATTAGTTCTATACTAATTATGATATACTATAATCTTTACAATTATTTTTATCACTGATTAGAATTAATTATAATATTGAACCATTGTAATTTTGTAATGACAACAGTTAAGTATCAACCTATATTTGAATGCTATAAATACTGGCTTCAGCCATTTTGTAGGACATTAATGGCAGTAACACTGACCATTGAAAAACAAATCTGAATCTGTACCTCGAATATTTACTGAATCTCTATTTATGACAATAAATGGGTTTATATGACTATATTTGTTTTAATAAATATATCGAATTTTGTACTAAAGTCGTTATTGGGAAGGCGATTTAGTTTCTTATTTTTGTTTTAATAGTAAGTCGTTCTGAAATTTTGATGTTTGTGCTTAGAAAAAAATCGAATTCGTAGCATGATTATAAGTTAAAAAGTATTTTAATGATTAATTACTCGAATTGCATTAAATTTCACATAAATGAGTCATAGTTTAATAATTTTATATAAGAATATAAGTAGCAATAAATTTTATACAATGTTGAAAACCACTTTTCACTAACCTGACAAAATGGCATTTTATTATATGTCAAAAATGCCCTACATAATTTTGGTAAAAGATACAAAAATTGACCGAGACGTCATCCCCTTGCCAATCCCCTCTTTTTACATCTGGTGGCTAAATTTACTACACAGAATTGATAAAGTATTTTTCTCTTTCGAAGATTGTGTGAAATATGTAACTATAATTGAATTTATCTTCTTAAAATGATTGCATAGGCCCTGTCTTGATACAAGTCTTTAGCTCTGTGAAGTAACATTTAAGTTGAAATACTTTCAATATAATAATCAGCTTATGTATTAGTTTATATAGGTCTTAAAGTTATATCAATATTTAAATGACAAAGTAATGACGTGTGGACAAACTTATGTTTTATTTCACAATGTGAAAATGAAAAGTAGCAATAAGGTCTTAAAATTTATTATATGTGACGGATTTAGTATGTCCAATATTGTCATTAAAACCTATGACGTCAGCATTACTGACGTAGTGACGTCACAAATACCAATTCTTTATCACACCTACCAAGTCAGTCAGTTAGTCTACCAAGCTTTTGAAGGAAATGTCGTAAACGTTTTGACGAATCCTTTTAATTCTAAGAGCTATGCTTGCTGTAATGGCTCGCGTGAGAATGTTTTTAATTTTTTTGTTTCGATTTGGCTGTAGTTGTTAGCCCTAATAACTTTGACAGCGTCGAAGAGAGAGAGTTTTAAAAATGTTACTTTAAATCTTTTTATACCAATACTCATTGTTGTGACTGCCTTTGCATGACTGTCTACGCATCTGTTTATTTAGGTGATAACTGTTAATTTAGACTGCCTTTAAATAACTATTAATAAGGCAAGTAATAGGAATTGCGTCTATACATATTTTTTTTTTGTTTTGCGGCAATTTTATCACAAAAAGATATGTTTAATTTCAATCATTACTTTATGACCTACAGTCGTTCAAAATGTACTATTACGATATTTTTATTATCCATGCCGCTTAGTGACACTGTAATAAAATTGACAATTAGAACTATAGCCCAAAAAATATTAATTGAATATGTGAGTACATAATAACAAACCTTTCTCAGTTTTATTTATTTAAGTATGTTAGCTTTTAATATTTGTTTTGGTTTTGTACAACCTAAAAATTGCGATTAATGAATCGATAACTGAAATAATATAAACACTTTTTAAATTAATTAATTAAAAAAATTATCTTTATACCTTGCGTCATAAAAATCGTATCGTAGTTGTGAGTAGTAAAGATTGGCTTTATTTATACAAGGTTGAATATCACGGGTCGTTTAGTTAATGGTACTGAGTAAGAAATTATTATCATTTGACATAAAACCCATTTTATAATCATTATATTTGCCAGTTCATGACATAGAAAATATTCAAGAAATGTTCAATTTAAGTTACACCAGTTATATAGAGTGTGTTTAACGATCGATAGATATTCCAGGAAAACTACAAGACTTACTTATATGTATATTTTAATAAGAATTTTATAAGAAAATTCATAACCTATAACTAAGATTACATGCTTTGATGTTAGGATAACAATGTCATTCCATTTCTTGTGTTTTATCAGAAATATTCTGGTTCACATGGCCAGGTATTCGTTTCAAGGAGTCATTATCGTCACTCGTATGATATTTTGTATATATAAAGGTATTGGACCACAGATCTTAAGACAATATCTTAAGATGGGTTAAAAAGTGGACTCTGAGGCGTTTTTGCACGTTTTGCAACAATTTTTATTCAGCACAAGTCTTTTTGTTCAGGATTAAACATTTTGTGATATAATTTTGTTCTAAGTTGTATATACGAGAAGATTGAAAATAAAGTTATAATTTGTGATATGTTGTTCGGAAACTGTTTTAATTTTACTATTGTAAAACAAATGTATTAGATTTTTAATTAATGACGATCATATTTTTATTTAAGTATGATTATAATGGATGTAATACGTATTTTAGATATTTTTAATTTTTTTTACTAAGTATCACATCAAGCATAAATTTGCTCATATAAAATATGTTTAGTAACCCTCAATAGGCATACATACATAATATACGACCTTTTCTACACATTGATATACAGGGTGACTGGTGAATTACTATTGATACTTGAGGACGTGATATTTGACGATCATATATGACAAAATAAAAATTAATATAACATAAATATTAATAAACTTCTAAGTAAAGTTAACCAAAAGTTATGTAATTAATTACGCATCGTGTGAACACCCTACAGATTAGGTATACACACACACACACAAGCGTGCGGCGGCGTAGTGTTGTATCAGAACGCCGCCGCACGCGTCCACACTTGGAACACTTGGAACGTGTCCACACTTTATTTATTTATATGGAAATTATGTCAAAAATTAAGTACCTATTTTTTTTACATAATTCGAATGAGAATCATGTACCGAGTATTCTCCTTAAATATTGATAGTAATTCACCAGTCACCCTGTATACTAAATTCTAGGTAACGTGCTTCTTACATTGTTAGAAATAAACATAACATTACATGTTTATTATAATATAAATAGCGGTTATTTAATAAGTCTTATGAGCCAAAGTATTTCCTTAATAATTTCAAGCAGGGACGTAATAACAATATTTTACGACTACCCTCGTTTCTGTAAATGTGGTTTCATGCTATAGCATAACTTGTTTCTCATTTGTTGGCTTACAATCATTCGTATGGAAAGGCATCCAAATTTATGGCATTGATAGATTATATCGAACTTATCATGTATATTGTGTATATCGGATTTAGTACAAATTCGTTGTTTTCAAAGAGAGACTTGCCAGCATCGCTGACGTCACTGACGTCACTTCACTTCACTTCAGTACGTTCCATGATATTTCAAAATTATTTTCAATTCTTCTAAATACGTATTAATATCAAAATTCAAACATAGTTCTGTTCTCCTTTTAAACAAATCTTGATTTTGTTTTATTTATATCAATAATTATGAATACCAATAAATTTTTTATAATTATTTTATTTTTATTTTGATGACAGCCACAAGTGATGTTATGTTGCATCCATCATTGATGCTTATAGCGTTGATATGTGTATTATGAAGAGGAGAATATTTTTGTTATATAAATTGTTATTATCCTACTCTATCCTGGCTAAAGCTGGGAAATTGCCAGGAAGAAGAAGAACTATACTTCTCAACGAGACAGATTATAACATTGAATAGATACGATTTAAATTATAGTTTAATATATAGATAAACATAAAAATGAAAATGTATATTATGAAATAAGGAAAAAATTTTATTATTGATTATACTATAATATTCTATATAAAATTTGTATTATTTATAAATAATCAACCACCTTAAAAAGTAATAATAGGCATAATGAGTTGATCAAATCAGTTCCATATATTTTTAATTAAGCAAAATTCTTAAATTACATCGCATTCATTCTGATTCAAGTGACATACATTATTCTCATCTCCACAGTGATTTGATTTAAATAGTTTTATAGTAACAAAAATTTATATAAATACGCTTTAACTTTAAAATACATATATTTAGTTTATTTGTATATATGATATGATGAAACGTCATGACTAAAATGAGGTTTGTACATATTAGTTTAGGGAATGTAGTTGTAGTTGCATTTTCAACAAAAAAATAAATCGTAAATGTAATATTCAAAGCTATTACTATTAAATTTAAAGTAGTTATTTTATCCTCAATATAAACTAAAAATGTTCTTTAAAATTAATAACTTATCGAATTATCATTTTGAGAGCCAGTCAATAATGTTATGACATTTTAGACAACTTAATAAATTACATTAATTTAAACCCAGAAATAATAGTTGACAAATGTTTTAAACTCGAATTTCTTCACAGTTTGTTTCTGATCGACCTTCAAATTTAATTTTACAGTATATATATTTTATATCTTCTTCTACCTGGCAATTTCCCAGCTATAGCCAGGGTCTGCCCTACATGTTGTGAATAGTTTTTGGCTAATTGTTTTTACGACCGGCCGCCTGCCTGACATCAACCCTCTTTTGGGAATCAACATTAATCAGTGATGTCTAAATAGTCTTAGAAAGTACATATGACTCGGAAAAATCACATTGGTACTTGTCCGGGCCAGGATCGAACCCGCGCCCTCGGCAACGAGAGGCGGGCCCTTTAACCACTAGGCCACCACTGACTATTAATATGATATATTTTATATATCCTCTAAAATTAGAGCCTTCAAGTAAGAGGTATTACAAGATACTATGAAAGAGACCGTAACATTGGATAATACTCTTAACGATGCGGTGTACTGTTTGTGTTCGACTAACAGAGGAAGTATTAAGTGTTCCTGAACTAGTAACGAGAATAAACACATATAACAGGTACTAAGAATCGACTCGTTAATTGGTATAAGTAAATATAGATATCTATTTAATTTATTGAAACTGACGCTTGTAACGATTAATTAAATAAAGAATTTTAATTGATTTAATTAGTTTCTGATGTTTTTATTGTATTTTAATGGTAATACTGAGAATCGTGAATAATTTCATAAAGTAATCATGTCCCGAAAGGGATAAATTTATTTGTAAAACCTCGTAACTTTTATTAGTGTGTTCCAATATTAGTTTATCAAATGTATATACATTACATAGAAAGGAGATTGTATTTTAAATGAAAAATACTGCATAGAATTTAGAGTATGTAATATGTTATGGAATAGTAAATAGAGATAGATAAAGTACCTTTACTGTTATTAAATTTATTTTTTTCTACAGATTTTATAAATATTCTTTCGTCCTTATTGTCTTACTGAGTATAGTTTGAATTTCCTTGAAGGAATTAAAACATTTATAATTTAGCGGGAAGTATGGTAAATTATGATTCCCAAATTGATTAAAACTAACATTGGAACATAACACTAACATTTTTTTTAATTTTCTTTCTCAATTAACTAAAATGTAAACATACATATAAACTGTATAAAATATATTTAATTTAAATTCCGAATGAGTACTGGAAATGTTATGAATAATAATCGAAGCTTTATTAAACGTCTTCATTTTTCTTTCAAAGGCGCTAAACGAGCAGACGGCCTACCTGATGCAAGGTAGTTACAATCGCCCATGAACATCTGCTTTGTTGACTTTGATTATCGGAGAGGGAGAGGAAACCGCAGGAATAGGGAAAGGGCAACCAGCTCACTCACTCATCGGACGAAACGCAGTCATTACTGACTACTTCACGCCGATCTTCTGTGAGAGGGTGGTACTGCCCCGGTCGAGCCAGACCATGTTCGAGCTGAAGTAACTTGACCACATCTAGACTCTACCACTTGTAAATGTTTTGACTCGCGAAAACTAAAATAAAATCGATGTCGAAATTATATTTTTTAGTTTAATTTGTTAAGTCAAAAAAAAAATCGATAGGTTTTTTGTTATTATAATAAGTACAGAATAAAAACACTGGTATATTAAATTAATTTTCTTTGCTTGAAAACTCAATTAGAATTCATTTTCATTAAGGCTAGTTATAATGACGTACCACTTTCAGTACCATAAAATGATTTAACTTTTTTGGCTCCATGTGTGATATTAGTAGTAGTAGTTATTGGGGGCCACAGAATATCAGCCTTGAAACTCGTTACTACTATGATTTTCAACATATATGCTGAGTGGCTTACCAATTTGTGCATCACAAATTGTTTTGTTTAATTTTCATCTTTTAGTTTGTATTCTCTATTTTCATATGTTTTGTTTTATATATATGCGTTCTTATATTGTTTGCATAAGATGTGTGTCTAAAAAAAGATTTTTTGATTTCATTTGATTTGATATTTTTTATGAGAATTTACACATTTTCATTTTAACAATATGCATAGTTAAAAACATTATAGATATTCTTTTATTGACATATATTCATTCAAAATTTATTGGTCACTAGAAGACCTGGCGCACTTCGTATCGCCCTATAATCAAGAAATATCTACTACGTTTTTTTATTTATATTTTTGGAGTTCACCTTTAAGCCATAAATCTCCGTGTTTTGAAGTGCGACAGAATGGTTGACATATTAGTTAGTTGTCAAATCTAATGTCAAAAAAAAACGTTTGTATGGGAAATAGAAAAGGGCTGTTTTTATGGTTTTCCCAGTAATTATTCAATTTTTTTTCAGCTTTTATACCTTCCCTGAACCTCCACAAACATATCAAGACTAAGATAAGATAAATCCGTTCAGCTGTTCTCGAGTTTTAGCGAGACTAAGGAACAGCAATCCATTTTTATATATATAGAAGATAATGGTACAATTCTTATAAATAAATTACTCCAAAGTCACGGAATCTTTTTTATAGGAAAATTTTTATTAAATTTCAAATTAATTTTAAAAAGCTATGAAGAAAATATTCATTTATATTCAATTCTCCTTGAATATTCTTTCTTTGCTTTTTTTGATGTCAGGAATTCCATACCAGAATTCTTTAAAGAAAGTTATTGCTTTTTACAAATAATTGAAATTGCTTTTTATTCTAGCATTGCTTTCTATAGAAATGTAACGTTTCCTGAATAAAATAAAGTATTTTTATATAGCAATAATAATTTGACGATAGTGTAGATCATTCTCGTGTATTCTAGACTTCAAGAAATGGAAATCTCAATTGCTTTAAGATATGTTTAACATTGTTATGTTAATTTGGATACTCATTACTCACTCAGACCTTTGTTGAAATATTTCTAACCTATGGACTCACCTATGGACGCGCGTCTGAGAGATTATTTTAGTATTTGTATTACTTGAAACTAACGTATAAAGTAGAAGAGGATTACTATATAAATAACCGTTATTTCTAAACTTCTTCTTTTACCTGGCAATTTCCCAGCTTTAGCTAGGGTCTACCTTACATGCTGTGAATAGTTTTGGCTAATTGTTTTTACGACCGGCCACCCGCCTGACATCAACCCTATTTGAGAATGCATTATTCAGTGATGTCTAAATACTCTAAGAAAGTACATATGACTCGGACAAATCACATTGGTACTTGCCAGGGCCAGAATCGAACCCGCGCCCTCGTGCATAAGAGGCGGGCCTTTTAACCACTAGGCCACCACTGACTTTTATTTCCAAATTTGAATAATGCTTATTTTTTCTTTTTCTTAAGATTGAAAAAACATTTTCAATGTCTAACTAAAGTCATGTGTGAGTAAATGATGCATTCACATTAATGAACGAAAGTTGATTAATTTAAAATCAATTTGTTATTAGTGATAATATTGGTAAACCTATTTTATAACCAATCGTTATCTGTTCAGTTAATTTAACGGTTACTGAGATTTTAATGCATTAGTAAATTGCAATGATACTGCTTGTATGCTTTTCAATATTGTCATATGTCTACTGTCAAGGATTTCCTGGTTATGAAAATGACCGGGATTTTCAGGTATACCGTTCTTTCTCTCTATCTATATATAAACATATATATTATGTGTATCTTTTATGTTTGCTTTGGTATTTATTTTCAAATTTATTATTTAATTTTAGAGACAAAACCCTTTCAGGGCAGGACCCTATAGGGGAGCAGAATTCCAGTACATAAATCCTCCTGAGGTTTGATTACAAACTATAATTTACTAGATATTTCTCTCAATTAATTTTTCACATGTAAAATATTATTATATTTAATAAATATACCCATAAAAGGAAAAGAATTTTAAGTATTAATTTAAGTAGTATAGTTATTAAGTAGTAAATATTTTTTTATTATATTATTGCTTACAAATATTTGTATTCTAGGGCTTTGGAGCTCAAAATATGAACCCTTATCCGGGAGTCCAGTATGGTTACCAGAATAATCCCAGACAGGTTAGGAACACTACATAGTACATATACAAACATATTATGTCCTTAAAGTAATATAATGTCATTTTAAATAATTTTCAGAGTTACAGTGAGCGGGAACTCAAGGTCAGTCGAGTTCATTAAAAATTGTTAGTGAGTTGATTCGAAGTGAAACTTAGTAATATTAGAATGAAAACAAGAAGACGTAGTAATTGGTTTTATGAAATTTTTAGTGTTTCTTTTAAACAAACTTTATTAACATTAATTATAAATCACAATTGATTGAATGCATGCGTTCGAAAGCCACGCGTTACATCGCTGTATCTTTTTTATCCTCCCCCCTAACGTTAAATGTTTAACGCAACCTTGTTGGAAGTTATAAGAAGTTTCACTTCAAAACTTACTTTTATATACTTTACATAAATCGCGTCTGATTTTCCTTATTTCATGAAAATATCAATCTGTTACTTTTTCAACACAAATTAGTGACCGGATTTTTGAAAGTATCTTATACCTAATGCATTTTATACAAATATATCAGAATAATACAACTAAAAAAAAGTACCTTTTCTTTATTTTAGATATAAGTGCTTCAATAGAAAAAGGTGCCGGTTGTTGATACTCGTAGTCAATTTTTTAATGTCAATACATTTGAATGAATAAGATTATCTATAGAGCAATAACTTTATATATACATATAAACATATATTAATGTAAAATTGCTGTAAATTTATTTTTTAGAAATATCTCAAACAGTTGCTCTCTCTGACATGAGCAAACTTTTATGATATTTGTATGTTTTGAGTCATTAAGAGTAAGTTTGAACTAATTAAATCGACACATCTTATCTGCCCGTGATCACGGTTGCTGTAAAGTAACCGCGACATCGGGAGTATGTAGTTTTTGATAAAAATAAAAGCGCGTAGTACATCCGAAAAATATTAGTTTCATTTAATTTAAACGACTTTCATTGGATTAATGAACAATTCATTTATATATGTAAATAGTATGTATAGTCTAGCTACAGATTTTAGGAAACTGGTGAATGAGGGTTAATTTTTTCTATCTCTTTAATGCGTTATTTCAGAAATATTTATTAATAATGCCTATTTTATTTATTAATAAAAACCTTGAAGGCGTAGTTTATATTTTCACAAGTAAAGAAAATATTTCGCTTCATAGGTTATATTCATTAATTTTTTGTTTGAGCTTCATGACAAGTAATTATATTTTCTTATATAGAGAAAAAAAGGTGTTATTTGTACGCCACACAATATTTTTATAGGCTACAGATCCTGAAACTCACACAATACCCACGTGGGTATTAGAAGAAGTGGTATGTTATTTTATTATATACACTAAGATAAAGAGTTAAGTTGTAAAATCGCTTGATTTTTGTAAGTAACGAATATTTTTTTCCAATGTTATTACGACAATTATATTGAATAATATTAGTAATCTATTTCATATGATATAATAATAATAATAATTAGTATACCAATATTAGAATAATTGTCTCAATTTAATTCTTTTGCGATATTTTTTTGTATATTATGATATCTAATTTGAACTTATATAAAATAAATTAAATATGTATAATGTATGTACCAAGCTAAAATAACCTATTTCCCGTTATAACAAGCTTAAACATAAAAACAAGTATACATTTTATTTTCAAGGGGGAACAAGTCGAAAAATATAATAAGGTAGATATTACGACTACATTCATGTAATTATTGTCAGAAATTATTTAAGAAATCCTAATTGTAAAATAATATATTTTGTCTTCTCACCTAGTACGAAGAATTCCAGCAATTTGCTAATAAAGTGAAGGTGTGTTATGTTTAAATAATATTAATAATTAATTAATTTAATGATATTATATTGATAAAGAACAATATTTATATATAAATTATAGGAAAAAACCCAAATGGATCCAAAACGAACGGTAAGCAATAATTGTTTGCAAAAGTTTTTTAGAAATTGATTATAAAAATCTTTAAGTGCGAAAATCTTCAGAAAGATAAATCTTTTTTATTATAATTTATTTCACAAAATTTTCCCCGTTATAAGTTTTCCCTTTAAAATATTTGTTTGATTTAAAATTATTTTCGTGGTAAACCGACAAATTTATATATCATTTCAATTCACTGTGGTTAGTTTTGAAAATTATGTAAGTACATAAATTAACTATTTAGGCTTTGTACCTTGTTATTTAGGTGGATGACGAAGTGAGGGAGGTTTTGGTAAGTAAAAATAAATTATTTTTATATTTCTTCCATACATTCAGGGTAAAGTCATTATTTGGATAACTTTTGATGGTATTAAGAGTGATTTTAATTGAATTACTAATAGATCAATATCTGTACAGTATATATATTATTTGTGGTAGAGCCTAGCTGTGGTCAGTTACAGCTCGAACATGGACTGGCTCAACCAGGGAAGTACTACCTTCTCACAGAAAATCGACGTGAAGTAGTCTTTAATGGTTGCCTTTCGTCCGATGGGTAAGAGAGCGGGTTACCTTTGCCCTATTCTCACCCAAAAATCAAGGTCGGCAACCCATAGGCAACATTATAAGTTGTGGATGTCCATGGGCGACGGTGACTACTGCCCAACCAATAGGCCGTCTGATCGTTTGCAACCTTTGTCATATAAAAAAAATAGCAGTGAACTTCAAAAATGTTGTCTTTCATTTATGATTTTCAGCTATTACTATATTTGTAATTAAAAAAAATAGTCGTAGATAAATACATATTAATCAATTTATAATAATTAATTTATAGTAATTGTTTCTATTCTTGCACCATCTATAGCAATGGGCCAGAAATTTAGAAAAGAGGGTAAGATATTTTTATAAATTAATTAATAATATAACATAATATTAATAATTTTCTTTTAATTTTTCAAGCCTATGGCTATGGCTCAAGACATACATACAGGCTATGGCTCAAGACCAAGGCGGCCAATGATACCTATGGGGAATAATCAGGTAAATATTATATTTAGCACTTACACCTTACAATCTAGATATTTTTTACAAAAACTACGTCAATATGATTTTTACCAATATGCATTTCTAAAATTCCATGTACGCATATGCGAATATTTTAAAATAATTTTATACATAAGTAAACAATGTTATTCAAATGAGGTATAACCCCTGTTAATCTTATTTAAAATAAGTTTTCTTGTCTTTGAATGGTTTATTTAATCAAAAGTTTGAAAATTTCACCATAATATGAATAATATTTGTTACTTAAAAATATTTGTTTCTAGGTTGCCAGACCAACGGCTATGAACCCAAGTCCTGGAGTAAGTCTGTTTATACACAGTAAAAAATCTGACTACTAAGATAATTAAGTCCACAGTCACAAGAAGAAATAACACAGTATCATTTGTTCATCATATCTTTATAAGATATTGTTACTTTTGTACGTTTAACAGATAAAAATTGCTGCTCTGGACCATATTACAGTCCCAAAACATTTGACCTTATGACATGTTAAAAAACGTGTTTAAACCATCGTTACATAAAATACAAGTGGCTTTCCCCGTTTGGAAATCACGAACATATAATTTGGCTTAAAGAATGTTCTTACTTGTGAAACAAACAGAACCTAATAAAATGATACATACCACCTTTGAACACATATCATACCTGGAAGCTATGTAGACATGAACCCTTTGTTACCTTTAAAAAAACATGTCATCCTTTAGGTCAGTGGCATGTAGATGATAATTAAAATATATGACTATCTAAAGAAATCTATTTCTTTATCTTAAAGAAAAGTTCAAGAAGAAAGAATATACTGAAAATATCATCATCATCTTTGGAATATTACGTTCCATGCGCTTCACACATTAAGTGATCTTTTGTCTTAAAGATTTGATATTCTTAACCATATTAAGTGTGGCACACATTAAATATTTTATAAAATATTACAATAATACTATTTAAAAATTGAAAACATAAAAAAACTCTCAAATGTTACAAAATAAAATAAATACATAAATGTTATAGATGAATCCATATTGGGCAGAACCAGAAACGGTGAGTTAATAATTTATACAACATTCTACTGGAGCTATTTAAAGTTGAGAATGTTTAATTGTAATAAGTGATTTTACTACCCCTAAAAACATGCTGTAAAATATTATATAAGGTACGCGTAGTGTAACAGATATATACACCGATTTGCTGAAAAAAAAAAACTAAATACTTAAGTTATCGATATGCACTACTGAAATTGAAGAAATTGAATTTATATTAGTTAAAAAAATCTGCGTTAATAATAATATATAATTTTTTAACTTAAACCATATGAAATAATTGCTTAATGCTAGTCTATTTTATCTTACATTTATCCTAAAATTTTGTTAGTTTTTCTTACTATTAAGGAACTTGTTAAATATTACAGGAGAAACCCAAATTTCCTATCCCAGGACCAAATATTCCGAGAATGGTGAGTACGAGAACGTATGTAAATTATAATTTAAAGTGGATATAAAAAATTATAAATCTTAATAGATTACAGGACAGCAAGCTATGGACGCAGCGTTACGAACCCTTACGGTAGGATATAAAAAAATAATAGTCTTGTAAGAACATTAATTAAGAATAATCTTATAGAGTAATAGAATTTAAAATCCAAACTACGTCATATTCATTTTATACGGTATAAAAATTTACCATTCATTGTAAAATTGACAAAAATATCATGATATTTTTTAAGAAAAACCTATGATATAAAAACGTATGAACAAAAAATAATATATTGCAATTTCATTCAAGAGTTTTGACAGTAAAGATGATAAGTCACCGATGGAAAATTTCCCGGAGGTCATGAAGAATTTGCCGAGAGACGTGAGTTTACAAAATTATTAAAATATTGAAAATTATATTTTCATCACCATCATCAGCCTATCAGAGCCCACTGCTGAACAAAGGCCTCTTTCTCACATGGATAAGATTTGAGCATTAATGACCACGCTTGCTCAAGACGGGTTGGTGATTTCAAACTTATAATTTGAAATTATATGTCCAGGTTTCCTCACGTTGTTTTCTTTCACCGCCTGTCAGTGGTGTCTTAATACTCTTAGAAAGTACATATGATTCGGTAAAAGCACATTGGTACTTGCCAGGTTTCGAGTACCCTCATGCACGAGAGGCGGGCCGTTTAACCATTAGGCCGCCACGACTACTTCATACCACCACCACTACCATTTTCATCATAAATAAAGTTATTTTATTTTAAGCTATTCCGTAAATGAAACGACTAACTCAATATCTTTTTAGTTGCCAATGGCTGCACTGCAAGAACCTATGATTAAAGCGGTAAAATATAATATTTTATGGATGTCAGTGTTTAATATCAAATACAGCAAATTATCATTATTTTTTTTAGCCTATAAAAGAGAAAAATATCATAAATTACCCAACAAAGGTAATTTTAACGCACACATAAACACACACACACACACACACACACACACTTTGCTTTGTTAAATTTTTTTATCATATAAATACTTATTATTATTGCATAACTTAAATTGCTTAGTCAATTTTATTATGTGTAAAATTAAATTGTACTTTAGGATGATTTTAATTCTCCGATCAAATGGGTGCCAATAACTTCGGTGAGTAATATTATTTCAATTAATTTCAATTAGCCTAGAACATATTTGTTTTTATATCTTGGAATGATTTTTTTTGCAGAATGATACCCGAGATGGGTTAGCTAAAGTAACAGTATGTATATTTTAGCACAGTTTCATATATTTAATTAACTACATACTTCTTAAAATATTATTTAAATATAAAGGACCCACAAACTGGACAAAATCGTCAATTCGTATTAAATGTAAGTTTAATTTTTATATAAATAGTTCAGTTTCATAACAAGAATGAATTTTTAGCTAGTTTCTGTTTATTACAAATATTAATGTTAATTACAAGTAATTGATTATAGAAATTTATGTAACAAATTCAATATCTAATTGACTTATTTATTTGATAATAAAAATGTAATGAAAACCAGATTCGTCCACGTTTTCTTCGTTACTTTAGTTCTTAATTTGACCAAATTCTTTTATCCGATGTATATATGTTTATATACAAGGTAATATAACTATAGTTTACCAAAATATAATTTTATAATTACCTGCATCATCCAGATAAGTTATTTATTAAAGTATTTCAATATCAGGTATAAAATAAGTATTTTTTTATTTTAGGGCGTTGTGATGGTTCCTGTAATTGATTATAGCATTGAAAGATTGGGATTAACGGTAAGTAGTTTTATATACAGTTCAATTCAAATTTCATTCGTTAGAGAGAAGAGCTTGGACGGTAGAGGTGAGTGTTTAACGCGCGTTAGATAGGGGTTCCTTAAACCTATACCTGGGTTGCAAGTCCCAGGCACTGTTGAAGCTCCTCTCACTACAACGATGGACCCGGAGTTAGCACAGTTTCGTATATAAATAAATTTTTCAGTCCACAGTTCGTCCGGTGATTACTACTGACGCCCGAACATTATTAACATTAAGACAGAACATTGATTTAAAAACAGTCGATCAAGGGGATTGGCTTGCATTTGAAACTGCATTAGGGGGACGGAATGATAGTGATCGGGTAAGTGATTTTCTTTAGTTATTTAAAACATAATAACTTTAAAACCTGTACAATAATATAAATCATTTGTTTAATATTTTGCTAAAAAAATATCTTCCTATTTTAGTGTGATGGCGACTATTGCCAGAGTAGAGTAAGTACTTTAAGTATAATGATCTATTTTATTAATAGAAATATACCGTATGATTTGTTTTTCTTTGTAATAATTATTAGAATTGTTAAATGTAAACAAAAACTAAATATGTTAGTAAAATTCAGATACTATAAAGGCTAAATTATTATAAACAATGAAAATAAAAAAGATGAGCTCACAAATATAACAAAGATAACAAAAACACATAGATAAATAGATATATACCTAGGCTAGATTCTGGGATTATACATACAAACACACACACACACATATACATATATGTATAAAATACGCATAAAATTATAAAGATGTCTACAATATTTGTTGGTCATTAAGGTAATACGTTTTTTTACATTACAGTGCAAGACACTTGCATGCGAGACGATGGTAATACAATACACATTGACTACATATATAAAGCAAAAAATAAATGATAATTTATATCGAAATTTTATTAATTTCAGTGTAGGGGTGATACTTGTGCTTCAGGGGTATTAATTTTATATATTTATTAATGAAGTAATTATGTAGTGAAACTTTTGTCCCGATTTCTAACCCGTAGTTTTAAATGCACTCTTCCGAATTTTTTGTTGAAATTAATATAACGCGACTGTTTATAGGAAAGTAATTAGTCTATCAACTGAAATTCAACAAAAAACACTTTTAATATTATATCAGGTTGGTTTTAAATGCCTTGAGTATATATACTTTTGTTTTTCAGTGTGTCGGTGGCCACTGCAATACTTTTGTAAGATTTAATTTTAATTAATAAATGTATGTATATGTACATAAATATTTCAGTATTAAGTTCTTTTGTCTCATTTAATACAGTGTAAGGGTTCCGGTTGTTTAGCAATGGTATGTCTAACTTCACTAGAATTATATATATGTATATATATATATGTTATCCGCTACAGTTGATACTTGTACATAATATTTTAAACATTTACAGTGCATCGGAGAAAGCTGTACATCAAAGGCAAGTTAAACTAAAAAAATATCTTATAATACAATCACTTATAGTTTATTATCAAGTAAAAATTTTAACATAATTTTCCTTTCTTTAACCTTTATCCTAAAAGGATATATCCAAGACATTGTCTAAAAGATTTCTTAGTTAATATGAGTCAATCAAATTTCGTATGTGATTACAAAACATAATAAAATCAATGGTTTCTCAGTGTGAAGGGCTGGCTTGTGAAGCGAGGGTAAGTTATTTCTACTCACGTAAAACCATCTAAGGGTTAGATTTTATAGTCAGATAATGTTTGTTTGTCTGTCTGGTTAAATCTCACGTAAATGTCGAGTTTTATGAGAGTACTTTTCCGTTTCTTAAAGCACTCTTTCTTACATACGTTCATGTACTCCTTTACTTGCTTTAACATAGTTAATGTAGTCACGTAGATGTTTAATTTTATGGGAGTACTCTTCCGTTTCTTAAAGTACTCTTTAGTACTACATTTATTTATTCTATTTTACGTGGTTTTTGATAGTTAATGTGAAACAAACTGTCACATAAGTCAATATAATCAAATGACTTGTTTATATAAAAATGGTCTTCCTATAGGTTTATAATGTATGGGTGTATAATGTTATAATTTAAAGAATATAATAAAAAATGGTTTAAATACAAGAATATTTTAATTAAGTTTCATATTTGATCAAATTCTGAATAAAAAATACAGAAATGAAATATTTTATCTCATTTGTTAAAGTATTTAAATTACATATATATGGAATATAAATAATATAATATTACATATACATATATACTCATATATATGTTCTTTCACACTTTCAGTGTCGTGGAAACGGCTGTGAAGCTAGCGTACGTATGAAAAATTATATTTAAATTAGTATTAGATTTAATAAAAATATTGCTATAATTTGCTTATTAAAGTTTGATATTTGAAAATATGTAATCTACATATATATTTCAAAATTAATAACTAAGATCGGTCTTTTTCATTGGCATATAATATAAAGTAAAAAAATTTGAACAGAAATAAATGTTACATAATTTATATTTTTTATTACTGATTGAATTACATATATCTTCTTAAAAGTCCATAGAAGTTTACATTAACATTTGTAGAAGTTACAAATACATACATTGAAATTAAATTCCTATATAGAAATATTTACAAATAGTCAAAGTTTCAAATATTTGGTATATGTGTTGTCTGTTTGTTTGTCACTTAAATTACACATGATACGCAAAACTATTTGAAAATATGTAGTTATTATATTTAATTACTTTCAATATTTCAGTGCCGTACATTTTCATGCAATTACGTAATTAATGCCAAGTACACGAGAGGTGGCGGTACTTGGGACCAACATTATCCTCAGTATGACGAGAAGAATATTAGAAATCCAAATCCTATGTATGAATAAATTAATAAAATGCTTATATTTGATTTAATGCCCTTAAGTTTGGAGTAGGGCAAGGGACGAATTACGTATGGGGAAGGCAATATTTGATTATAACAATCCTCTTTTAATTCATCATGTAAAACCTAAAGATATCTAAGATTTAAGAATTTAATCATCTAAATAAAACTGAGTTTTCGGATAACTTACGTGCTTTTCAATACTTTAAAACTACATAGTTAATATGAGATGAAAATGTGGATTGTATTTTATCCCCCGTCTGCCCGTGATCATGATTGCTGCAAAATAACAGAAACGTTGGCAGTATATAGTCAAAAAATTATAAATAACGCGTAGTATATCCGAAAATCTTAGTTTTAATAGAATATACTAAGATAAAGTTAAACTATTAATATTTATACTTTTTTATTTTCTTGTAAAACTTATTAATGAAAAGTCAACACAAACGATAGAATTAAATCTATGGATAACAATAAATTACGTAACAAATTGAATATCTCTATATTAACTACATACGAGTATATTTAGTAAAACTAGTTATTGCATATGGTTTTGCCCGTATAGTAAACCCACTTTCGAGATACTAGTCATCACCCTTATGAGGTTTTATTAAGATCAGTACATCATATCCTGACTTGGTGGTAATAAGATTACGAAGAAAATGCCAATTATATTAAAACAAACATTTTAAAAGTCAACAAAAAACAAAGGAGTTATAGTTTAACAAACATAGTCGATTTGTGAAAAACATGTATTTTAGACATCACTGATTAATGCATTCCCAAAGAGGGTTGATGTCAGGCAGGCGGCCGGTCGTAAAAACAAATAGCCAAAACTATTCACAACCTGCAGACCCTGGCTATAGCTGGGAAATTGCCAGGCAGAAGAAGATGCATTTTAGACATCAATTAAAGATTACCCTAATTTACTTTATGTGACCTTACTTACTTGCAAGTAAAAATAACATCAAAATAATATATTTATATTTAAATATAAATTGAAGAATAAGTGTAATCATATATCAAGTGTAGTATGTTCTGGCAGTTAGTTACATATTCATCAAATTTCAGTAACAGAAGCCAATTAATGGAAACTTATTTGATTGTTTTGATAGTCGTGATTGACTACGCTGAGTAGGAAATTAAACTGTGACATCGCTACACGCTTGATGATACGATGTACAAAATACTATGCCATTTGCTTCTAGAGAGATTTGTTAATAGGCAGCGGTGAAATGAATTTTCATTTACTTAGATAAATTTTAATAATGATGCTTAAAACACTATTATTAAAAAAAATATGACATAACATATACTTAAAATCTATTATTTTTATTGTTTTTAATCTCCTCTCTTTTAGATATTTTTAACTATTTAAATGACTGGTAATCAAATTAGTTTCATGTTAAATATCAAGATGAAATTATTTTTCGGTCAAGGTTAAATTCTTGACGTCAGGTAGTAAATATATGTATATGTATATGGGTGGCAACCGGAGGTTCGCGTAAAACTACGAAACTTACTTATATGGCCGTTATAATAAGAATTACACATTAGAACTACACCTAAGACTACATGATTACCCCCTTGTTAGGATAGCAATATTACTCCATAGCTTGTGTAGTATCAGGAATCTTATGGTTCACACAGCTAGGTGTTTGTATGATATTTTATCCAATAATGAAGGTGCCCCTTCGATGTTAATTAAATTTTTAATATGTTGCACCTATGTAATATGGTCTTTATCAATAATAATACTAGATAAATCTTACTGCTGTATTTATTATACTAAAGGAGTCAATGTATCCGTTACTGATAACCATTCTTTAATCTCGTAATTCCATGTTATATTCTTTAAAGTAACTTATATATTAATGAATGATATGGATCGACTATTGATGGTTAAAATTTCACTAGAAAGAATGTTAAACTGTAAATCTATAAAGTTATTTAATTTTGAAAATTAAACGATGCAGATGCTTCATAATAAATTTACTCGCCTGCCGATAGTGGATATATATAACTTTTTATTTAATTTTATATATTATACTAATACATTTAATGTTAATGTAAAAATTTTGGGCTTTCAACTTGATTGATAGTACAAAATTAATTTCGAATTTCGACGCCTTTAAAGACGCCACGAAAGAAAAATACGAATTTTTGTCGTATTCAAAGCGATAAATATATCAAAAATAACTAATATTTGGGAATAATTACTTTATATATCATGTACATTAAATAACAATATAAGGGTCAAACGAATATAAGTCACAATTATTATTTAACCCCATTTCATAAAACGATCTCTCAAACGATGGTAGAAGTTAAACTTATTAGTTATATCTCAATATTATAATTGTATCAAAATATGGTTATTCTAGTAGCATGGAGACTAACATTGGAGGGTAATGCGGATAGAAGCGCTCTTTGATCTTAATTGGAATTTAAATTTAATAATATCTCGGACGCAGTAAACTTTCAACCCTTAGACACATGGAATTATATAAATAGTAAGGCTTTAGATCATCATACTATATAATAATTATATCTATAAGCTATATTCTTCCTAATTAATTTTATTAAGTTAATCGTATGCAACTATGATATTTCTTAAGCCTGGAAACATGAAATTTGGTTGCAAATATTCTATTGTCCATCAAATCTTAGATAAAAAAAAATTGGTTGTTTGTAAAGCAGGTTTACGATCGAGATGTTTACGTGATAACGTCTTATTGGTGATATAAGTTTTTGGGAAGTTAGGAATTAATGAAGATAACAATTTTTTCAAATTTTAAATTACATCTATCGTTTTATTCACACTTTTGATGATAAATTTCGGGTGTAAAATGACAAGCTAAACATTCTGTTAAACATTCAACGAAAACTTAACCGCACGAGAAAATCTCCATTCGTTTGTATGCCGCTAGAGTGAGAGAGACGGAAGATCGGTCCACTCACTCGAACGCTATGCCTGCCTCCGCTCGTGAGGATTCCGCGTGACAAGTTTCACGGAATGACTGGCAGCGCTCGAGATGAGACGGGAGATCGGTCCGTCTCTCTCTCGTTATACCTGGGATCGCGCACGTGAGGTTTTGGTGTGACACAAGTTTCTGAACATGTCACCCGACTAAAACGATTTTAAAGACGTTATCACGTCAATAAATGTATATTTGTTTTAATATAACTAATTCTCTATGTATATTTTATGTAAATAAAAAAAATAGATTGTATTGTAATTTTTTTGAAATTATTTAGGAAACTTAAATTAAGAATCTTTTTTTCGAATAAATAATTAGTTTTTGAATATTCATGAAGTCAAGAGGACTTGATAAATATTCTGTAACGTGATTGATGTTTAAACATGATTAAAATCATATTTGTAAGTTCAGTTTTATCTTAGTTTTTCAGGCTCATATTACATTACTTTAAGTAATACTTTAATAAACTAAGACTTTATATGTATATAAATCTCTGAAACATATAATTATACACAATTTAGGTATAAACACACGCGCACACACACACACACACATAATAGGCAAAAAGTAATTTTCACTTCTTGCTGGAATTCTTGGACGTTGCTCTAACTTTAAATATAAATAAAATGAGTAAAGTCATATGCAAGAAACATATTATACCCAAATTATTTTGAGGACCTAATAATCCAACTATACACTTATGCGTTAAATTAAAGATATATCTTTGTATATAATAAATGCTAGTCAGATTATTTTATAAATTTAAATGTTCATCTAATATCTAGTAATTGCTCTCGTTAAAATACTAATACTCGTTACTATTTCCTCGTATACTCGTTAATCCAATTAAAAAGAGACTGATTACAAGTTAATTGAAATTTCTCTTAATTTTGATGTTTCGGAAAAAGTTGTTATTTAAGTGAAAATATGAATTTGTTAGTGGTTTAGATTTCTAAGATCTTTTTTAATACTATAAAATGTGGTAGTGTATTCTTATTGAAAAATCGTTGATCCTGTCAGCTTTTTTAAGCAACTCACATTACTTCAAGACTTCTACTGCTTGGTCAAAGAGCATCAGGTAGAATTGTTGAACATGGCTTGATTTCATCAAAGTTGGTAGAATCATTTTAATAATTCGAAAAATCATAATATGATTTCTTCAGAGATTTGTCTAAAAATAAACTGAGCAAATAGTAATATTTTATTTCTCTCGTTGTTGTTTTTATATTTATATTAATTTATTTTTGTTTTGTTTACAGGGATGTAAAAATTGAAGTTATTTAAATAATCGATTGTAGAAATAACAATAAAATAAGCGCCACATTTACCTTCAATAATAAATGAAATAAATCGGACCCAGGTTGTTGATAGGCGTCACACAAATGTGATTTACGGAAGGTTAACTTAAATCTTAAAAGTTTTTTCTGTTAAGAAATCTAAGTTGAAAGTAAGTTGAGATTTTGCTATAAAACGTCAATAGGTTTTAATGAAAAATCTCAGGTTCTCTGTAAATACAGCACTGCTTAAATACATTAAATACGCGTAGTAATCCGAAAATTATTAGTTTCATTTTAATGAATACTCGCGAAACTCTTAGATGTCATGATACTGGGTGGCGCAAAAGTAAAGACCCTATTTGGTTCAGCTATAACATTTTTTCTAAATGAGAAAACTAGATTTAGGTTTTTTTAATTGTATATTTGTGCCATTAAATTTCGTACCATTAGGATTTAAAGATGATGTCTTTTAAATGGTGACCTCCAGAGTTGATACACAAAATTGGTTATGAGTGACGAAGCGCATTTCCATCTCTCAGGGCATGTCAATAAGCAGAATACTCGGTTCTGGGGCACTGATAATCCGCGCATTATTCAAGAAACACCTCTACACCCACTAAAAGTTACATCTGATTCTGATCTCATTTAGAAAAAATGTTATAGCTGAACCAAATAGGGTCTTTACTTTTGCGCCACCCTATATGAAAAAGCTATGATATATAAAATTGAATAAAAAGTATCGTCCG